TGCGACGGGTTCGATTGTTCGAAAAATTATAAAACCAGATGGATCAAGTTCGACGATGTATCTTTATAGGGTGTAATTCCGTTTTATACGAAAATCTTGCCGGTTGTCCAAATGGTATCGGAAAAACATGATCCCAATCTCTTAACTTATTGGTTACGCGAATGGTTACGTTCCGGCGTATTGTGTCCAACAGAAGTTGTTACCGATTATGCCATGGCGCTTTTAAATGCTGTTAGCTTGGCGTTCGAAACAATTGACCTCAACACATACATGTATGTCAATAGATATTTTGCGGTTGCCGAAGGAAATAGTACCGTTATGAAACCTCGTTGCTGCATAAGAATTGATATCGCTCATTTCATTAAGCTTGTCACTCGCTGGAAATGCTTTCTTAGTACGCATACGCGAGTAAAAGAATTTTTCCTTCGATGCATTGGGCTTCTCGCAAAATCCACAACATTGAAACAGTTCGAAAGTTTATTACCCGATACTTTGACAGTAGCTTTATTGGACACCGAGGATATAAATTCACATAACAACTGCTTCGATGCCCAAAACCGGCTAATTCAGAACATTAAGGGATCTTCCTAGTGTTACGGCTCGAAAATTAAGCAAAATTCATAAATTTTTTAAGGAAAAACTATACAATGTAGCGATATAAAACTTTTTTACATGTGTTTGTATATCTTAAAAGAATATGTCAAATTTTATTTATTTTAATATGTTAAAAACTTAGGAGTAATAATAATACAAGTATGTAGGTAGCGCTAAAAAAAAGAAGTATCGGTAATTATGCATAAAAGGGGCCTCCTTTCCGATTTGCTTCATTTTTAAATATGTTGTTGGGGATGTCTTCCCGAGTCATTTCATATATATATATATAAGGGCCGGACTCAAATAGTTTCGGAGATACAGGCTGAGAAAGGATACAAATAATAATATATAGGTTTGTAACATTCCACGCATACCGAGAGCCACTCCCACCCATCCCTGCATGCGGAGAGGTGCGGTAGTCCCTGTTTGTTTACGTTTGAAAGTCTTCATATATTTCCGCCGTTGTACTGTTCCACATGGGTTTGCAACTTTCCACGTGAAGCGAGATCCACTCCACACCTCTGACATAGGGTGGGTAGGGTTATTTTTAACGAGGTGAAGCCCCCCCGAAGGGGGGGCGGAACACACTGTCTTCACGCATACATTTTTCCATCTACATTTGGTGGAGGGGAGTGACTTATATCAGAGGTGTGGAGTGGATCTCGCTTCACGTGGAAAGCCGCAAACCCATGTTGTGTCGCTACATTTCGTCGGTATGATAGATTTCCTAACTCTAAAAGTTGTCAACTTTAAAAATTAATATCTCGCTTCGCAGGGCAGAGCGACGATTTTGTCTGAGGAAAAAGTTGTTTCTCGTTGAAAAACGCGTCGAAGAAGACCAATTTGATTGATTTTGGAGGTGGAGCAGCTATACTGAAGAATTACCATATATTTATTATTTGTATCCTTTCTCAGCCTGTATCTCCGAAACTATTTGAGTCCGGCCCTTATATATATATATATATGAAATGACTCGGGAAGACATCCCCAACAACATATTTAAAAATGAAGCAAATCGGAGAGGAGGCCCCTTTTATGCATAATTACCGAAGTATCTCCATGGTAGCCATGATATCAGTTGTCCAGATTGTCTGAAATCAAAAACCAAAAAAATTCTTAATATGTATGAATGTGGTTATCGCCCGAACAAGAAGAAATGAAAAATATTGAAAAATAACAAAATGGCGGTGTTTTGAAAAAAGTGTCGATTTCTGCTAAAGAAGTGCTTGTTTTATAAGTCGTAAAATTACAATTTTGCAAATATTAACTTGATTCTAGTTTGGGCGAGAATTATACATCTACTGAACATGCCTGTAAAATTTCAAATCAATCCGTCAAGTAGTTTTTAAGATATCGTGGTTACCGTTTGCAAAAATGTCATTTCGAGAAAAACGCGTTTAAAGTTTCATGTGTACAGTTTTATGCTATATAAAATTGAAAATATCATATAGCTAATCAGCTATTCCAGGACCATAAAGGACACCTTCCTCTTTCTCATAAAATTGATTCGCGATCGAATTGGCATTTCTGCGGGAAATTCTGGCCTCCTTGGACGCCGCGGTGTGCCGTTTTTCGGCGATCCTTAAACGTGTGTCGTCTCGCTTTTCAGCGAAACTTTGCGCAATCGGTCCAATTACAATTCCCATTACTTCCAATGTTTTCAGAATAGAAAAATAGCCTTCGTTAAATATTATTGTGGCTAAATATGCAGACATTTCAATTGTTTTAAGGCCACAATACAAATGTTTCGGAGCGAAATGCCACAAAAGACCGTTGAAACTTTCATTGTCATTTTGTGTATTTCTTCCTAAACATCTTTCTAATAATTCATCCTTAGATAAATATTCATAAATTGGTTTGATTATTTCTTGTACTTAATCTGAGAGCGGCGAATCGTGTTTATATTTTGCTAGTGTTCCTTCGGCTTCAGCGCGGCGATAAGAGCACCAGCTTGTCAATCCAGCGGGGCAGTATGTATGTTGTGGATTTTTGTCCGTTGAGCATTTGTGAAAATACGTAGCCCAAATGGTGTTTTTCATATCTTCTATAGAATCAATGTGCCTTGTTATTGCTAGTCCATAGTATGCTGTTAAATCATTTATTAGTTTATCCGTTAATTTGCCTGAGCCTTTTCCTCCTATTCCTTTATGCTTTTTCTTCTCGCTTCTCAATCTCGAACCCATTCTTTTTTTTACATGCAGTACACATTCCAATTTTTTAACAGGTACGTTGTATGGATTAAAATCTATAATGCCTTTGAACGTTTTAGTATCGCCGTCGCCAATATAACGCGTATACATTACTCCATACTTTTCTATTGATCGGCCGAACACTTCTTTCACTCCATCCACCTCTATTTTCCCTGATGATCCTTCGTGGTTTATACAGCAGTCTTTCATATGATCTTCTTTCCAATTTTCATATTCTTCCTCATCAAGTTTTTTTTCCCACGTTTCACATATTTTAGAATAACTTGATTTCACAATCAAATCTATAACTTTGTTGCTATATTTTCCGATGAGCGTTACAATGCCGTATAATGAAGAAAATCCTCTCTTTTTCCAGGAACCGTCCCTAGACACTGTTAAATATTGGTCAGAATTTTCATTTTGCAAAGTGCTTTCTTTTTCTTCTTTTAATGCAGATTTTGTAAATAATTCGTATACGGCTTCCGATGCAGTATGTATGTATATTTTCTAAGCAACTATAATAAGTGTTACTGTAGAAATCACTCGCTAAGTCCATTAAATCCACAAAATAATTTTAATCCTTCAATACCTATTCCTAATAAACGCATTACAAAAACACTTCTACGGTTTATTTCGAATGAATTTTTTGTGAGAGGGCAGGAATTTATGTACTCCACATTATCACAGTCACATTGTACAGCGATTTTAAATCCTAATCCTCGGGGACTCACTGCTCTAAACTGTACATCTTTCTGACACTTTTTGCACATAACTAACTCGCTTATTAGAGAAAACACTGTAACAAATTGTAGAATTCGATATCACTGATAGATTTTTATTTCTTTGTATTCTGTTTTGCGCAATTTTTGAGCCGATGTACTAGCAAAACTTGTTTCTTGCTCGACAGTACACAGTGTATTCAAAAAGTTCCAGGACTCCCGTCCTTAAAAAAGTAGTAGTGACCCCATCACTGCGGGACAAATTGCATCACGTAGGAACGATCTCTAGCAATGTCCATACGAAGCTGCAATCGGTTCTGACAAGTTCTATCTTGTAGATGTTTATTTGCGCAAAGAGTCTCAGTGTGTTCGTGTCATCGTACAAACATGGAGCAACGAACAAATATCAAATTTTGTTTTAAATTGGGCAAATCGGCCACAGAAACGTATGATATGATGGAGACTGCGTATGGTGACGATGCTATGAGTCATTCGCGAGTGTTTGAGTGGTTTGCGAAGTTCAGAAATGGTAGAGAATCAACGGAAGATGACGAGAGATCAGGTCGTCCACGTTCGAGTCGAAATGATGAAAATGTTGAAAAAGTAACTCCATTGTGACTGGGACATTCTACAGAGACGTTTTGGAACGACTTTTAAAACAAATGCGGCGTGTGAGACCAAAAGTGTTGGAGAGCGGAGAGTGGTGGCTGTTGCACGACAATGCACCGGCTCACAAGTCCATTGTTGTACAGGAGTTTTTGACGAAAAGGCAAGTTGTGAGCATCAACCACCCTGCGTACTCACCTGATCTGTCCCCCCAGACTATTTTGTGCTTCCCAAGCTAAAATTGAAGATGAAGGGACACCGATATGAGTCAGTAGAGGCGATTGAAAAGGCGGTGACAAAGGAACTGAACAGTATTCTAGTGGAGACGTCCAGAAGGCGATGATGGACCTGAATACTCGTTCTAAGCGTTGTATCGAATTGGCGGGAGACTATGTAGAAGCTTGATATTAAAGAGGAGTCAATACATGGCGTTGTTTCATCTGTGTGCGACCAGTCCTGGAACTTTTTGAATACACTGTGTATATCGATTTCCTTTGAATGATCTTTTTCTTTGTCTTGATGGACGCACTGTGCCAAATCTGAAGCTTTTCTTGTCCATTTTTCTCTTTGCTTTGCTAACGTCTAGTATGTCTACTCGTCACAAAGGTTAGAAACATACTGTATTCAAAAGAAATAATACAAAACCGGTCCAACGGTTGCCTCTCTACTCCCCGAGCGCGCTTATTTCTACCTGCGCGCCGCTCACGTTTAAGGCTGACAACTTCCTTAATATTTCGAATCGGGATAATTTGGGATAATGTTTTTAAAGAGTTAACCTTTAAGATTATGCAAAAAATTTCATGATTTTTTGAGCCGTCACACTAGGAAGACCCCTTAAATCAATAAACGACAAACTAGAAATTGACGCTATCATAGACAAGGAAATGAATCCAGAAGTTCATAGTGATTCCGAAGATGATTCTACAGTAAATCTGGACTTTGAAACTGCCGACTTCAATATAACTGGAAAATTAAGTACTTTTTTACAAAAATTTCAAGATGATTGTAAATACACACAAACAGGTGACCCACCAAATCCATATTGGTGCCCAAATTTCGCGAATAATCTTTTAAGAATTTGTAAGCATTTTACTCTCTGGACATGCTTTTTGACATCAAATGGAACCACTGCAACTTCATCGCGAAGCGAGGAATATTTTCGCGAATTAAAACACCTAATTTTAAATAATGAGCGGAATCTTCGAGTAGACAAGTTTTTAATCAAGCATGTACGATCAATTTCTGGAACCGAGAAACC